GCATACCTTTCCTGTCGCTGTGGACCCTGTGAAGGAGATCTTGGACACCAGCGGGTCAGTACAGAGTGCTTTCCCCACCTCCTTGGCCTTGGACCTAGAGCAAGGGACCACGTTGTACACGCCGGGAGGGATCCCGGCCTCGTTCGCAAGCTGCAGAGAAACAGAGACACATGGCCACAAATCATCAAACTGGGAAAAGAGAAAGAAACAGATGTTTAATCAAGGTACTGTGAAAACCCAAGCTGATCCTTGGGACATAAAAACATATTTGGGGGGATCACGTGTAACTTGCTGGTAGAGCACGTGCTTAAGATGAGTGAGGCCCTGGTTCCATCTCGGCCCCCATAATTATATATATTTGGAACTAAAATAAGACTCAGAGTGCTAAAGCGATGCCAGTGTTAATGTGCTGCCACATGTCATTAAGATAAAATCTCCTAGGGAACGAGTTTCAATGCCACCTTCTGTTTAACAACCTTGGACTTCTTTCCCAAGAGAGAAAAGTCAGAGGAGAGTCCAGTAGACATCTTTGGCCCGCAGAGCCGAGGACAGGAGCGTGAAGGGGCCCCTGCACACAGCAGGCAGGAGAGGGGACGGGCACAGCCCTGACAGTGTGGGTGCAGGCAGTGCAACTCTCCCGGCCCAGAGGGGCCCAGGGAGACGGGACATCCAAATGCCACGTGGTGACCAGGACAGGATCCCAGAACAAGAAAAGAGCACGAGGTGAAAACTAAGAAAATCTGAAAACGTTAATGACGTGTCAGTATTGGCTCATTAACCGTGATGGCCGCACACACGATGCTCACGTCAGAAGGGGGGGCTGGGGTTGTGGCTCAGTGAGGCAGCACCCCTGGGTCCCATCCCCACTAACAACAAGAGACAGAAAGAGAAAGCATGTGCGTTTCTAAATGTGAGACATGCCTACATTTTAGTGCCCGTCTAATGAAAATGATGGAGAAATGCCATTTTTAGGGTGGCCCAAAGAACACATGGTCTGAATGTACAAGGGAATCCCCACCTAGTTTTTTTTTTGGAAAAAGAGTATCTGACTTGACTTCAGAGGACTAGAACAGCACGCAGTGGGAGACACAGGCAGAGAAGGAGGCTGCAGACTGCTCGGCCTGCCCCCTTTGGACTCTGTCCGCACAGCTCAGAGGCTCACCTGGGCCAGGGCCAGGGCGGAGAAGGGCGTGTCTTCCGCAGGTTTCACCACCACGGTGCAGCCAGCTGCCAGGGCGGCCCCCACCTTCCGGGTGATCATGGCGCTGGGGAAATTCCACTGGGATCGAAAGAGCAGAGCTCACATTGAGAGCTGCCTGGACAGTCCAGGGGAAGGCAGGGTAGGAAGTCAGTCAACAACACCCTTGCACAACTGAGTAGCAACCTGTTCTCCAGCTGCCCAGGTGACCTCAGAACACCTGGCCCGCCAACCTGACGGACCCGGGACGGAAAGGGTCATAAAGATAGGGAGCAGATTTAGAATATGACACAGTACAACTCTCTGGACCAGTGACTTCTGCAGAGGGCCAGTAAGGTTCTTAGACGGTGTGGGATCTAGTTTCCTTCCCAACTGCCCAGTTCTGCGGTTGCATCAGGAAAGTCACCAAAGAGAAGATGTTCACAAATGGACATGGTGTGTCCCAATAAAACTTTATTAAAAACACAAGCAGTAGGCTGGATCTGTCCTGAGGTCCTTGGCAGAAGATATTAGGGTTGGTGATACTGAAAATGGCGTATGATTTATGACTTCCTTCTGCACACATTTTGTAGACTCTAGAGACATCAGCATATCTAGATAGCTACGACACCTATGATCTACGTCTTCATATCTATAAAGCCATTTCACTCTAACAAACATAGAATTAGTCTACGTCGGTCATTGTTCTAAGCACTTCAAAACTATAATCCAATCCTTATCGCATCTCGATGAGGTCAGAGTTACTGCTGTCCTCATTTGCAGGTTTGGGGAAACTGAGGCAACGGTCCTGGAACTTGCCCATGGTCACATGACTGGTAAACAGTAACCATCAGGTCAAAGTCCCAGCAGGAAGGAGGATCCCACCCGTGCTGAGCAGGAAGGGACAGTGGCCTCCTGACCCGTGGCAGGTACTGGAGAGAAGGCCTGAGACAGTGGGATGGGAGGGCTGCTGTGCAGGCAGCACGTGGCGGTCCCAACCAGGCAGACGCTGAGCCGTACTTCGCAGCCTCTGCCTTCCAACCCTGCCCTGAGCCTGCTGGTAAGTGCACAGATGCTCTGCTACTGTGAGAACCCCAAGTTAAACAAAAATTTTCCAAACAAAGGCACGTGAAGTGCGGATGTCTCTAATCCCATCAGCCTGGGAGGCTGGGGCAGGAGGATTGCAAGTTCAAAGCCAGCCTCAGCAATGGCGAGGTGCTAAGCAACTCAGTGAGACTCTGTCTCTAAATAAAATACAAAATGGGGCTGGGGACGTGGGCAAGTGGTGGAGTGCCCCTGAGTTCAATCCCCAGTAATGCACCCCCCACCCCCAAAGAAAAAAGCAAACAACATGCTGACTCCCAGATCTCTTCAGAGGCGCCAGGCCAGGCCAGAGGAAGCCCTCCTGCTGAGTCACAAAGCCCGGGTCCTCCAGGTCCTGCAGGCCGTCCCCCTCCCACTCCTGTCACCACAGCTGGCCTATCACAGAGGGCCCCACTCCTCCGCATCCCACAGAGGAACCAGGAAACCAAACGGGAGGCGCTCACCTGGCAGGAGGAAGAACACTACTGCCCACCCCACCCCACCTGCCCACCCCACCCGCTCACCCCACCTGCCCGCCTGCGGCTCGGCCTCCCGCTCACCGGGGTGATGACCGCAGCCACTCCCAGGGGCTGCTTGAGCACCAGGGCCCGCCTGCCCTTGGCGCTGGGGTAGATGACGTCCCCGTAGATGCGGCGGGCTTCCTCCGAAAACCACTCCAGGAAGAGGGCCGAGTACAGGACTTCTGCCTCCGCCTCCTTCAGCGGCTTCCCCTAGACGGTCACAAGGGTCACAAGAGGACACCTCAGGCCTCCTGATAAACAGTGCCAGGCAGCGTTCCTGAATCCTTCATGGTGGCAGGGGGAGAAGCCCCCATGACGACCCACAGAGTCGCTGGGAAACCCCTGACGGGTGAGTCCAGAGGGCAGAGTGGCCCCGGCCACCAGGGCGTGCGCGGTCCCCACGTGCCTACAAGTTGGGATGAACGGGCACTGCAGCGCCTCCTAAGGTCTCCTCCTTCCAAGATCTGCTCAGTGGGAACCCAGGGTGAAATCGTTCTTCACAGCGAGGGAGGAACTACTGTGCACTTAGAAATACACAAAATCTAGGACACAGCAAAGCCGTCACTTAGGGAAGACCTGGGGGGGTGCAAAAGGAGTATTCCCGTAGCTCCCGACAAAATCGATTTCTGCAGATCAGCAAAGAGTGAACTAGAACATTCAAATTTTGTTTTATTGATGTGACCGCCAGGCCCAGGGACTTGGCCTCTGCTCAGCAGACAAGGAATAAGTGATCTCCGGCCACAGAGCAGGAGAGGCTCCCAAAGGCCGAGTCTGAACTTTCCGGGCAGTCTGTCCGGGTGGCGTGGCGGGACCTGTACTTACGCTTTCCGCTGTGATCAGCTTGGCCAGGTCGCCCTTGTTCTGCATCATTAAGTCGTACCATTTCCGAAGCAGTGAGCTCCTCTCCTGAAACAGAGCAAGGCAGAGGGGGATGAAATGTCACCTGCAAGACAGAGACCTCCTGAAGCACCAGCAGGGCGGGAGGGCCGGTGTCCGGGGCCAGTGTCGCTGGGCTGCGGGGTGCATGGAGTGTGGACAGCTGTGAGTGTCCAGAAGAGAGGAGGGTTTGACTTGGTGACGGTCAAGAAAGCTGGCCCTCACCAATGCACCTGGGCCACATTCAACACCGAGGACCAGACAGAGCAAGAAGGGGAAGGAAAGGCCAACTCGCTGTCTCTGGGACCTCATGTCCGCCCTGGGGCAGGCGTGCCCCATTCTCAGGCCTCTAGACTGGAACTTCACCCTGGCGCCCCTGGGCCTCCACCCTCACGGGGTCAGTTCTCATGGTAACTCTCTTCCTATGGATCCCTGTTTAGGTCCTGTTGGCTGTTTCTCTGGAGAGCCCTACACTTGGGGAGACATATATGGACCTTCTTTGATAGGGAATGACACAGATCAGTATTAAGTTGTACCCAAGGTACTCGGAGCCATAGATCACAAAAGTCTCGTGGAGACAGCTAGCACTGTTGATGGGAAACAAGACCAACTTTACCACACGAGGGGACATCTCCTACTTTTAAAAGTTATCATTATGTTTTTAGCTGGGGCCAGGTGTCCAGCTACTTGACAGGTTGAGGTGGGAGGGGTGCTGGAGCTTGGGAGTTTCAGACCAGCCAGTCTGGGCGACGCCATCTTAGGGGGAAAAAGTCAAATTGTAGTAAAAGACACAAAACCCTGGAGAAGAGGCCAAAGCTGCGTCAGTGGGGTAATTACATCTTATCCGCGCTGCGTGAAGCACCAGTGAAGAATCTGTGACCACAGGCCTCGTGCCCCGGGTTACTCTGGGAGAGAGAGGGATGAAATACTAAAACCTCCGAGGCCTGGCTCAGAAGTAGACTGAATATCTGAGTAAACAAACTGCTGTGAATAGACCTGAGGCCGAGTCCCAGAAGAAGACAAGGACAGAAAAGCGAGGGACCTGTAAGGAGAGGGGCTTCTGCAGACTGAACACATGGGCCTGTGCAGGCAGGAGCCAGCTGAAGGTGGTGTGCAGAGCCCTGGGCATGCCGCGAATAACTGTGCCCAAAACAGGGGTGGTGGAGTCACCTTAGAGACCTTAGAGACTTTTCTGGTCTCATGAGAGGTTCAAGGTAAAATGAGGTCATCCAGTATGACTGATGTCCTTACAGAAAGAAGTCAGGATACAGGCACAGAAACACACCTACGAGGATGATGTGAAGAGATACTAGGAAAGGGCCACTTACAGGCCCGGCAGAGAGGCCTGGAACAGTCCCTCCCTCGCAGCCCACAACCCTTTGGACTCAGCCAACACTTTGATCTCAGACTTCCTGCCTCCAGACCAGAGATCTAAGTGTCTGTTGCTTAAGCTTCCCAGTTGACAGCCTTTTGTTACAGCAGCTGTAGAAAACTAATACACACGCGTCTCGATCTATAATTGTGCTTTCTACACATAAACCCAGTGGAAGTGGAAAGAGCCACAAAGTGTGCTGAAGAGTACCGTGTCTGCTGGGGAATGTGACTCACTGTTGCTGCCCAGTATCATCAGAGACAATGTCCCACTGCATACGGCTACCTGGGAGAAGATCACAACTCGGAATCCCAAGTTCAGTGTCCACTGGATGCACATCACTCACACACCAGTGAGAAGTTGAATAATCCCGGCTTAAACCATCCTGATTTGGAGACCGTTTGTACAATCTGAGCCAGGGGCCGTGTGGATGTGCAAGACTCAGGGTTCCTGAGAGGTGGAATGATGGACATGCACATGGGGCCCCAACTCCAGCTCCCCACTGGGAGGAAGTGAGGATGGTGCACTGTGGCTTCTCTCAGCCATCTCCTCACCCACAACACGAATCAGTCTACTGCAGGGGGCACCAAAAGGACCAAATCCAACACAGGCACAGCACCGAGAACAGTACTTGGCTGTGGTGGGGCACAGTGATGGCCTTCAAAGATGTCCATGCCCCAGTCCCTGGAACCATGACTGTTTCCTAACACGACTAATGGGGCTTTGCAGATGTGATCAAGGACCCTGAAGTGGGGAGACTATCCTGGACCATCCGGGTGGACTCACTGCAGTCAGGAGAACCATGAGAGGCAGGAGGGTCAGTGTCAATGTCGGAGAGCGCTATGTGGCAATGGATACAGAGGCTGGAGGGATGAAGGTCATGGATCAAGGTGCACTGGCCACTTCTAGATGTTGGAAAAGGCAGGGAAATGGATTGTCCCTTGGAACTTCCAGGAGGAACAAAGCCCTCCCCAGCATTTTGGACCTCTAACTTCCAAAACTGTATGAGGGAATGGGGACATAGCTCAGTTAGAGTGCTTGCCTTGCATGCACAAGGCCCAGCACCACATGCATACACACACACACACACAAACACACACACACACACACACACACTCTCACTCACACACAAAATGTAATAAAAAAAAAAAAAAAAAAAAACCCTGCATGAGAATAAATTTGTATCGTTTCAAGCTTCTGAATTTACGGAAATTTTTTAGGAAGCCGTAGGAAATCAATGCATTATCCTACAAGCCCTCCAGTAACTACCAGTTCAAGAAGGGGGGATGCACCCAGGCCTGGATCAAGGAGAACAGACCCAGGAAGAAAGGCCTCAGAGGCTAGGAGGGGAATCACTGCTGTCCCCCATGGCTTCTGCTGCTCACCTCCCACCACCAGGGCCCTCAGGGAACCGACACCACCCTCTTAGCACCACGTTGACGCTACCAGTGTCAGCCAGAGGCCCTGGCACTGGCCCTGAGGCCGCCACACCACCAACAGGACTGAAGGAGCTCCCTGCACCTGGCACTGTGACAGTGGAGCCCTTGTGAGACCCAGATGATGCGAGAGGGCACAGGAGGTGGACCTGACCCGACCGAGAACACACGCGATGCACACACGTGTGCCTTCCACACATGCATGAGCCCAGGGCTTGTGTTCAACTCCAGGTGACACGTCCAGCCGCCTGGGTACAGCCTCACTCGCGAGTCCTAGGGATCTCCCAGGCGACGTGCATCTCACACTGGACTATCTCAGGCGGAGGTTACTCCATCCTCCTAGTCGCTCAGGTCCAAAGTCCTGGGTCCAGCACTGCCTTCTCTCTCTTATATCCCATAATATGCTGCTGGAAAACACAGCTGGCTCTGCCTTCAAAATACATCCTCGATGGCCCCACTTGTCACCACTCCCCACTCTGTCTAGTTCTGTCACCATCTGCACCTAAACCACACCAACAGGTGGTTGGTCCCCCAGTCGTCCACATGCTGGAGGCTGGGTCCTTGGTGTGGTGACCTTAGAGGGTGGGCCCTAGTGAAGGTCCCCAGGTCACCCGAGGCGTGCCCTTAGAAGGGATCAAAGCCGTTCTCCTAGGAGCTTGGGTAAGTTCTGGAAAGGGAGAGTGGTTAGAGTGAGCCTGACGGCCAGCTCTCTCTGGCTTCCTGTCTGGACCTGTGACCAGTTGCTCCTGCACCTGCTCCCACTAGGACACTGCCATTTGCCATCAGTCCCTCACCAGAGGCCAAGTCCATGGGGGCTGCCTCGTCTTGGACTTTCAGCCTCCAAAACCGCTAAATAAACCTCTTTTCTTTATGAAATCTGCCTGACTCTGAATTTCATTATTAAGGCAGAACCTGCCAGCACACCTCCTAACAGGTGTCCACTTCCTCTGCTGTCCTCCTTCAGTCCCACAGCACCATGGCCGGAGCGCCTTCCAAAATCTGAATCGGGTCATATCTCTGCTTAAAACCCTGCCATGGCCCCCGCCTCACCCAGAGTAAAACTAAAGTCCTGGGAATGGGCCCTGCGTCCCCAACCACCAGGGCCCTCCTCTGGTTCTCTTTCCCGACCTCTTAACCTTGTCCAGTCCTGACTGGCCAAAGTGCCTCCTTCTGTTCTGCCAACAGGACAGACAGGTTCCTGACTTGCTCCTTTTTTTGTTCTTTGGGTCTCACACCTAAGTGAGGTCCACCTTGATGTTACAGGCTGAAAGGGTCTGCTCCCAATCATTATGTTGAACTCCTAATCATAAGGTGCCTGCATATGGAGATAAGGTCTTTAAAGAGGTGATTACATTTAACATGGGGTTACTAGGTGGGCCCTAATTCAGTAGGGCTGGTGTTCTTATTAGAATGCCATCACACAAAGAGACGCGACCTGCAAGCCAGGGAGCAAGATCCCACAAGAAACCAAGCCGGTTGCCCCCTTTGACCTTGGACTTTCAGCCTCCAGAACTGTGAGAAAACCTCTGTCTCCCAGTCCGCGGTGCTGTAAGGCAGCCGAAGCGACTGCTTCATCCGACCACACTACACCAAGACTGGTCCTGGGGTAGCGCGCGGTGCTCTGCCTCCCCTACTGGACAGTGAGCTCCCAGAGACTTGAGAGCAGAGGCCTTCTCCACCGCCCGCCACAGCGCTTGGCATTGATGCTCCAAACTTCTCTCTTGTTTGTGTCCTTTCTTGTTGCTCTTTCTGCAGTGTGTACCCCAGGAAATTGAGGGAGACAGGGAGAGGTCGCGGCTGTTTTCGCTTTTGAGCACAGCCCGGTACTCGGCGCCGGTCCCGGGCCAGCGCTCGCCCCCTGCACCCGGCGCACTCTCACCTTGACCGAGACCTCCTTCCAGCTGCAGAAAGCCTCGTGGGCGGCGTGCACGGCGGCGCGGGCCTCAGGCACCCCGCAGTCGGCCACCATGCCCAGCGTGGCGCCACTGGCTGGGTCGTACACGGGGAAGGTGGCGGCGGCCGGGAGCCAGCGGCCGCCCACGAAGCTTTCGGTGCG